GGCCCAAGAAGGCTGTACCCAAGTGTTGGGTGATGGGATAACCATTGGGAAATGCAAGGCTAGAGTGAATATGGACCGACAAGCAGGGTAGCTTGGTGAAGTATTCAAGAGTCGGCTTTAGTTCCCTTGGGAGATCAAATGGCCGATGCTCCCAGTCTAAATGTGGGTGGCACTACCTACTTGGATACCTGGTGTGGCTCAATGGAACCTCACTCTAAGCTTAGGGCTAGAGCACCCAAAGGCAGAAGGTGGGGAGAGTACCTATAAGGCTTGCGTAGGGCTACAGTGTTCTGAAATGTTGTCCCAAAATCCTAGATTATAGAAAGGAAGAGGAGTGGTCCTCTGGTGTAGTGACCAATAATACGGTCAGGTGGTGAGGAATTCCCAGAGGACAGTGGGACTTAGTGATTGGGTTGGTGAGCTTTGCCCTAGTGGCAGTGTTGGCGAACACGGCCATGGACAAAAGAGGGATTTGGTGGGGACTATGAAAGGGATATTGGGGAAGGCTATTCCCCATGTCTACGGGCATCTTAAGGATGCTAAAAAGTGGACCTAAGATGGTCACTCATACACGGATGGCCCAATCTTTGAGAGACGGGACTGTGATGCAAGTGGTGTTGAACCACAGGTGTGACCAAGATGAATGAGCATGGCCTTAGTGTAATAGGCTAGTATGTCAATGTTACCTTGGGGGTGTTGGTCATGGGATTAAACATATGGAGAACTTGGACCACGTGCAACAGTTGAGTGGCATGGATGCCATTCTTGGGGTTAGAAAGTCTATAAGTCCAAAATAGGATTATGGAGGTTGTGAGCGAGACTCTTCCAAGTGGTCGAAAGTGTGGTTAAGTGACTAAAGTAGAATAGAAAATTTAGTCACTTACAGTTAATAGAATTGAGTTTACCTTCATGATTGTCATGAGCTGCTGATATTAGATGTTGGGATTAATATTTAATGAGCATTCTTCCATTGATCCAAGCAAAGTTTACTAAATACTTGGGCCATATAAAAGTAAGTAATGGCGATATAACTCCTATCATCTTCCACCTATAGAATACAAAATAAATGACTTAGTGTTAGTTTATTTTTGTAATATTATAGTATATAGTTTATTTAATAATTTCCTTGTTCAATGGAAAAGATTATAACAACTTGAATTACAAGTTTATAAGGTTTAGCATGATTTCCAACAAGCCAATCCTCTAGAAATTGTGTACATTCAACAACTTAAAAAATTTCTTACAAAGAAATCAAGAACAACTAACACCATCTACAGATCTATTAATGTTTCCTCTTTATGTTCCTTTAGATCCTACTAAAAAACCCTAATTACCTTCTATCTTTCCAATACTAATATTAATATAATGGGATTTTGATAGCCATTGGATTTATTTCAATCTGGACCACTCGTTCATGTATATAAGCTAGGGTTTTAAGGCTAATTGATATTTCTGTATTTCATTTTAACATTCCACATATGAATAAGTTTTATTTTCAAATATTTATTGATAATATTATTTTTCAAGCTTTTAATTAAAATCAACTTAAAAACTTTTGCTATAGAAGAACTTTGAAGTTCTGAATTCATATTTAAGAGGCCTTGATAGTGGAAGACAAAATCTTTAAAAAGCTAAATGTTGATCTTTCTACTCATGTGGTGGCACAGCATCCCTACTGAATAAAGGATTTCTCAACTGGTGTGACAAGCCAGTGTTGCTTTCATGGTCACTTAGCCCATAATCCACTGGAATTTATGAGCTGCTTGTGGTGCCTGACTGGAATGGAGAGTTAATTACATTGATTGAAACAGGGATTGATCGTGCAAGGACTGTTCTTAATCTTGAGGGGATATTGAGAAAGATTGACGACAATCCATCCACTCCATCATGACATCAAACAAACCTTGAGCTTGATCCATGTGGCCAGCCAGATTGCAAACGCTCCGACATTGCGGTCGAGGAGCAACTCCAGAGTTGAAAGACTTGTGCTGTTCCGGCTGGAGCCGCGGCCTGAGAAAAAACCCTTCCTTCCAAAGACTTGAAGGCGAGGCTCAAGGTCAAAGTCGCCGGTCAAAGAAAATCGAAACTACTAGGGTTTAGGGTTCTTCGACCTTGCAATGGTACTTCATGCGCGGCAAGAATGCGGGTGCCCTCGTCCGATCGCCGCGGCAAAGGGAGCGGATCACGGCGCTTCTCGCGTCGCTCAGGGCGTGCGCGCAGTCCAGGGATCTCAAGAGCGGCCAGCGAATCCACAAGCAGGCGGCCGAGAATGGGGACGACGCCGATGCCTTCGTCGGCAGCGCCCTGGTAGGCATGTATTCCAAATGCGGCAGCATGGAGCTCGCGCGAGCAGCATTCGACGGTATGAAGCATCGGGACGTCGTGTCGTGGACCTCTCTCATCTCCGGCTATGCCGAAAACGGCCACGGCGAGGCTGCGTTGCAGGTTTTTGGAGAGATGATGGTGGCTCCGGCCAGATGTGAGCCGGATCGTCCCACTTTCCTGGCGGCACTGAAGGCCTGCTCCAATCTGGCTACCAAGGAAGAACAAGGTCAGCTCAAAGTTCATGGAAAATTCGTGAGGATGAAATGCCTGAACGAGTGTATGTCTTTACATTCCCAGGCTGCCAAGCTCGGCTTGGATCGCTCCGACGTCTTCGTGGGCAGCAACTTGTTGGATTTGTACGCCAAGTGTGGGAGTTTGGAGGACTCGCGCAGGGTTTTCGACAGGATGAAAGCGCATAGCGTGGTGGCTTGGACCTCACTCGTGCTCGGCTACTGCGAGAATGGACAACCAGAGATCGCTCTGGATTTGTTCTCGTACATGGGAGGATTGGAACCGGATGCTCCAACTTTCGTGGCTGCTCTGAACGCGTGCACGAGTCTGGCGAGCAAAGAGCAGGGCCGGGCAGTGGACGGGATGGTGGTCAAGCCGAAGGCCTTGGAAACCGGAAGAGCTCTGCATGCTCGAGCGGCGAAAAATGGCTCTGAGTTACACAGGGTTGTCGCTGGAGCGTTGGTGGACTTGTATGCGAAATGTGGGAGCCTTGAGGATGCCATCGACGTGTTCGAAAGAACTCCAAACCGCAGCGTCGTCTCGCTTACAGCTCTCATGCTCGGACTCGTAGAGAACGGACAGCCCGAGGTGGCCTTGAAGATCTTTTCCCGGACGCAGTCACAGAAGAGCTTTGTACTCGACACCAGAGCTTTCGTCGCTGCTCTCAAGGCCTGTGGCAGCATGGCAGCGAAGGAAGAAGGCCGGAGAATCGACGGAAAGCTTGTCAAAGTTGACGCCTTGGAGAGGGGGAGTGTTTTACACTCTCAAGCAGCAAACCGTAGCTGGGATTCGGACTTGTTTCTGGCCAGTACGCTAGTCGACATGTACGCGAAGTGCGGGAGCTTGACTTGTGCTCAAAGAGTTTTCGACGGAATGGTTCGTCACGACGTCGTTTCCTGGACGGCTTTGCTGCTGGGCTACGCTGAAAATGGTGGCGAAGAGCTGGCTTTGGAGCTTTTCACGTCAATGAAGGCCAAGAGGTACACTCCAGACGCTCGGACTTTTGTCGCTGTTCTTACTGCTTGCTCCGGACTGGCAGAGAAGGAAGCAGGCACCAAGACGCAGGATGGCAGCGTTGTGAAAGTTGAGGCTCTTGGAAAAGGCTTGGAGCTGGAGTCCGAGGCTGAAGAACTGGGCTGCTTTGATGGTGGGGACGTTTTTCTCGCAAGTACTCTTATCGCTCTATACGCAAAATGTGGAAGCCTGGAAAATGCGAGACGAGTTTTCGACAAGATTCGTCGACACGACGTGGTGTCATGGACAGCTTTGATGCTCGGCTACATCGACAAGGATGATCCAGGCTCGGCTTTCAGCATTTTCACTCGGATGAAAGACGAAGGCTTTGAGCCGGACTGTCGGAGCTACGTGGCGGCATTGAAAGCTTGCATCACTCTTGCTGCCAAAGAAGATGGTAAGGGTGGGAAGACGGAAGCGCTGAAGAGAGGAAATGACCTCCACTCGCAAGCCGCACAGCGTGGTCTCGACTTGGACAAGTTCGTGGCCAGCAAGATCGTGGAGATGTACTCCAGGTGTGGAAGCATGGGCGACGCACGCAAGTTCTTTAATGCTATCCCGTCCCCGAGCTACGAGGTGCGCACCGAGCTGACGCTGGGATACTTTGAGAACAACGAGGACGAGCTCGGTGTAGAGATGTTCCAGAGGCTGATGAGAACTCAAAGCTACCACTGCGCTCACGACTCTCGGCTCTTCCTCGCGGCTTTGAAGAGCTGTGGACGCTCAGCTTCTCTCGAAACTCTCCGGAGAGTCCACTCCGAGATCTTGAGAGCAGGAGCCACCGACGACGACGACGACGCCGTCTCAAACTCCATGATCGATGTCTACGGCAAATGCAGCAGCGCCAGAGACGCTCAGCTCGTCTTCGACAGCGCTGGAAAGCCCGGCTCCATCGGCTGGACCTCGCTCATCTCGGGATACAGCAGGGTCGGAGACATCGCCAGAGTTTTGGAGCTCTTCCGCGGGATGCAAGACGAAGGCGTCCGGCCAGACGACGTCGCGCTTACGTGCGTCCTCAGCGCTTTCAGCCACGCCGGGCTCGTCGGTCGCGGCAGGAAGCTCCTGGCGGAGATGGAGGCCAGGTATGGGATCAAGCCGGCGATGGAGCACTACGTTTGCGTGGTGGATCTCCTGGGCCGAGCAAACCAGCTAGAGGAAGCGCTGGCGATGGTGGAAGGATTGCCTGGCGAAGCTAGCGCGCTGGTGTGGAGGACGCTGCTTGGGGCGTGTCACAAGTGGAAGAACGCGCGAGTGGGACGAGTGGCCTTTGAAGCGCTCGTGAAGATAGACAGGGACGACGCCGCGGCCTACGTTCTCATGACGAACATGCTTAGGTGGCAAGAGGACACGAAGACACGTGCACCCTAAATTAGATGCGAGAATATGCTGCGAGTTTAAAAAACTTCCAAGGGCTTTGAAAGAATCATTTCATGCTCGATCGGGGGAGATGCCTTGAAACCCTTCGCAACTGCAAAACTCTTGGTACTGCGAGGGAGGTCCATTTGGAAATCAAAAGGGTGGTGAGAGCCAGTGATGATGTTTTCCTCTACAACAAGGTCATTGAAATGTATGGGCGGCTCGGCAGCGCAAGCGATGCTCAAGAGACCTTTGCGAGCCTGGGCAGCAGCGGCAACGTTTTCAGCTGGGTTTTGCTCATGTCCGCATATGCCAAAGCAGGGCATCTGGAAACCGTCAAAACGTTGTTTGATCAGATGCCGCAGAGGGACATGGTGTCGTTTTCGTTGATTCTGGTCGCGTTTCTTGACAAAGATGATCTTTTTGCTGCCGAGGAAGTTTTCTCCGACATGCCTGAAAAGGATATTGTGTGTTGTACTTCAATAATCGCAGCATTCGCCAGAGTTGGGAACTTTTCTAGAGCTCATCATATCTTTGAAGAGATGCCACAGCGAGATCTTGTAGCCTGGAACAGCATGCTCGCAGCATTTGCAGGAGAAGACGTTGAATTTGCACGAGAATTCTTTGAAAAACTCCCCGAGTGGAACTTGGTCTCGTGGAACTTGCTGCTTGACATGTATGCACAAAACGGGGACCTCATCTCCGCTCTGCGCTTATTCGAGGCGATGCCAGAGAGGAATTTGATGTCCTGGACCTCGATCCTGATCGCAGCTGATAACAACTCCAGAGTTGCGAAGGAGATCTTTGATCGAATGCCTCAGCACGATCTAGTTTCCTGGAATGCGCTTCTTAATGCAAATGCCCAGGCGGGGAATCCCTGCGAATTGCGGGAGCTGTTTGATCGAATGCCGTGCCGGGATTTAATCTCGTGGAACGTTGTTCTTGGAGCTATGGTGAACGGGCATGAAGCCGCCGAGCTCTTCCATTCGATGCCTTACCACGATTCGTACTCCTGGAGCTCGATCCTGGCGGTCCATTCCAGGAACGGGAATTTCCAGAAAGCACAGCAGATCTTCTACCAGATTCCGGAATGGAATCTTGTCCTGTGCAATGCAATGCTAGCAGGTTTTGTGCAGGCCGGGGAGCCGTCGATTGCCAAAAGCTTTTTTGATTCTATGGTAGCGATTGACTTGGTCTCTTGTAATGCAGTGCTTGCTGCATATGCCCAGATGGGAGATCTAGAAGTAACAAAAAGCACATTCGATCGAATGCCTGAGAGAGATTCTATTTCGTGGACGTGCATGCTAAGCTCTTACGCTTGCGTGGGAGAGATTGGAGATGCTCAGAGAATATTTTATACAATGCCTCATAGAAGCTCCATTTCATGGAATGCGCTGCTTGCCGCTTATGCCCGGAATGGGTACATGAGAAACGCTCTTTGTCTCTTTGAGCGCATTCCTTACAGTTTCTTGGGTGTTGCCGAATGGAGCGCGGTGCTTGCCTGGTGCTGGAGCAACGGGGAATCGCGTGGCATCTTTGAGAATCTCTTCGCCTCGATGGCACTGACCGTTCTTCGCGACGAGTCTTCTTTTACGTCGGCGATAATCTCGTGCAGCCATGAGGGAGACGTTTACTCTGGACGGTGTTACTTCCAGTCGATGATTCAGGACTACAACATTTGCCCGGGAATACAGCACTACAGTTGCATGGTTGATCTCTTGGCGAGGGGTGGCTACTTTGGCATGGCGCAGGAGCTCATTGAGACGATGCCATACGAGCCCAACTCGGAGGGATGGATGAGCCTGCTGGGAGCTTCCTGCAGAAGCCCAGATGGTGATTCATTCAAGGAAAAGAGCTTTAGAGCAGTGGAAGGTGCCTGTGCCGGAGCAGCGTATGTGGTCCTGGGAAATGCGCTGAAAGCGTGATTCGTGTAGTATGGTACATCTTTCGAAGTTTTCGCTGCAATATTTCGACTCATTGTGAAAGGACAGAAAAAATTTGTCTATATAAGAAGATCAAGGAGGGATTCCTTGAAAATCTGGGATTGTGTTGTGTCTTTGTCGTCATGAAGCAACTTTCTGTAAAAGCTGTCTTGATTTCTTTGAAGGAAAGTGGAAAGTTGCAAGTCGACGTGAGAGCAACGTATGGAATGGAATGCCGGCAAATATTATGATTCTTCTTCTTGTTATTTTTCAATGATAAACTATCACATCGGTTAGTAATGACGTGGCAATAGTTAGAGTTTTCGGGTCTGACGTGTCACGTAGAGAGCCTGCCACATGGCGTGATGGAGCGCGATGCGTGCTTGGCTCTCATCCGGAGCTGTGCGAGCCCGTCCCAAGCGCGCGACGTCGAGCGGCTTGCGCGATCGCACCATGGCCGCGATCTCTTTGTCCTCAACAAGCTCATCGCCATGCACGGGCGGCACGGCCGCGTGGATTTGGCGCTTGCGGCCTTCCACAGCATCCAGCGCAAGGACATCTTTTCCTGGATCCTGATGCTCGCCGCCTACTGCGACAACGGGTTTATCCGAGAAGCTATGGCGCTGCTGCTGGACCGAATGCCGCAGCATAGTGTACTCGCGTGGAACACGCTGCTATCGGCGGCCGCTCGAAACGGGGATCTCGAGCTCACCAGCGATCTCCTCTCGCGGATGCCGGAGGCCAACTTGGTTTCGTGGACGAGCATGGTGATTGCGAGCTCGAAAGTCAGGAATTTTGGTCTTACTAAAGCGCTGTTGGATCAGATTCCCATGTTGGACTTGGTAGCTTGGCATGCTCTTCTTGTAGCATATGCCCAGAATGGGCATCTTGCGGAAGCGCTTACGGTGTTTGATACTATGCCTGAGCATGATTTGTTCTGCTGGACATCACTTTTAGCTGCGTACTCGCAAGAGGGAGACACTGAAGAGGCTGAAAAATGTTTCCGAGAAATGCCACAGCGGAACCTTGTGTCTTGGAACGCTTTGCTTGCGGCATATGCCCAAAACGGGCATATGGAGCAAGCAAAGCGGACGTTTGAGCGCATGCCCGAGCACAATCTTGTGTCCCTGAACTCAATGCTCGTCGCCTACGCCCAAAACGGCCACTTTGGACGGGCAAAGAGCTTCTTTGACAGCGTTTCAGCGAGCTACGAGGCCAACACGGTCTTGTGGAACTCGATGCTGGCCGCGCTTGCTCGGGACGGGAAGCTGGCCGAGGCCAAAGACATGTTTGACGAGATACCACAGTGGAACCTCGTATCTTGGAACTCGATGCTGGCGGCGTTTGCTCAGCACGGGGATATGGCCAGAGCAAAGGACTTGTTTGATCGGATGCCCGAGAAGAATGTGGTGAGCGTGAATGCCATGCTCACGGGCTACACCCAAAATGGCCTCTTGGAAAACGCCAAGGAGATGTTTGCAAAGTTGCCGGAGGTAAACTTGGTGCAATGCAACGCTCTCTTGGCTTCTTATGCGCAAGCTGGAAGCGTGGAGAATGCAAAGCAAGTTTTTGACGAGCTTCCATGCAAGGATTTGGTCTCATGGAACTCTCTCCTCGCTGCCTATGCCGTGAAGAGCCATCTCAACTCGGCCAAGGATCTGTTCGACCGGATGCCGCAGCACGACATGGTTTCGTCGACCACGATGATCGCCGCGTATTCCATGGCTGCTCAGCTTGAGGAAGCCGAGTGCCTGTTCTACTCTGGTGTTCCACACCGCGATGAAATCTCCTGGACTTGTATTCTCGGCGCCTACGCTCGCAACGGACGCTTGGCACAAGCCGAGAAGATTTTCACTCGCCAGCCGGAGCAGAACCGGATATCTTGCGGTGCCATGCTCGCGGCGTACTCTCTAAACGGCCACTCCCACCAAGCAAGATCAACTTTTGATTATATGAGAGCGCTCTACACGCCGGACGACATATCCTTCGTCTCGATCCTCATCTCGTGTAGCTGCGGAGCTCGAGTTTACGACGGCCGATGCTACTTCACGTCCATGGAGAGCGACTATGGGATCCGAGCTAAGAAACAGCACTACTGCTGCATGGTCGATCTCCTGGGCCGAGGAGGATACTTGGAGCATGCATACGAGCTGCTGGCCAACATGCCATTTGCTGCTGATTCCATCGATTGGATTACTCTCTTGGCCGCTAGTCGGAGCCACAGTGACGGCTTCCATGGGGCCCGAGCAGCAACACTGGTTTTTGATTCTGATCCAAGCTCTGGAGCGGGATTCGTGCTGCTTTCCAACAGCCGGATTCCATTGGCGACGAGGCACAAGACTAAAAAACAAATGGGGCAAGACGACAGCACCGGGGAAATCGTCCATCGTACATATATATGACGAGTTTTTTACTCTTTTCTACCCCCATATACCACGAGTGGCGAACATATGGCATGCAATTCGTAAAAGGGTGAGTGTTACTGCGGTAGATTTCACTCATAATACAGTGTTCATGTGGCAGTTTTCTATTGGTTCAGCATTAAATGTCATTTGGATGCCTCATGAATGCCCCATGGATGCTGGCCAATGGGTCAATGATGTCCCCATAATATAAACAATGTGTTACACATAGATGCCACATATCATTAAGTTTGACCCCATGACATGGGGATTCATTAGGTCATAGGGTTTAGGAGATGCTTCCCTGCCTTAGTGCCTTGCTTTAGTGCTCTATTATTCGGCATGTTTCTTGGTAGTCGATGTGAAAGGTAACTTAGTTTGCTAGTGAGTGGTTTGAAATGTTTTTGTGGGCAGTGTTAGAAGTGGCTTTGATTTACTACTCGATTGTTCTCTATGGACTTTTAAGTTCCTACTATGAGTATAGTTCCCTCCCTAGTTTACTTCAAATTTGTGTCACTGAAACTTTTTCTTCCAGGTTTACTAGAAGAGGTGGAGGAAGATGAAGTGGATGGCCTTCCATCCAATTTTAGTGATTCAGAGTGTGGTTCCAATATGGATAGTGACAACGATGCTCTCCCAAAGGTTTGTTAGTTTCCAGCCTCCTAGATTCATGATTTGCATGTTTCTAGGCCTTTTATAATTTTTTGCAATCGAGGGGATTCTGTAGTCCAGCTGCATTTGGCACTTGGATGCACTTGAAGATCCTTAAGACTAAGACTACTGCTTACCTCACATGCTGTCTTAGAATTTCCAAGCCAACACTGTACAAATAAATGCGGCTTGTCGATCCAAATTGGAGAGGTGTATATTATAGAGTACCACCCAAAGAGGTACTTCATCACGTTCGAACTAACAATGCCATGAATCGAGGTGGCACAAACTGAGGGATTATCAATTCCCGATCTAGCTGTCAAACTGGAGGATATTGATTTAGCCGACGCCAAATTCATGAGGCTTTAGCCACTCACGATCCAAGTAGGCTGGAACAGAGGCACATGACAAGGATTTGACGACGGATTTATAGGAACGATGAGGCTTATGCACTTTGCCATATGGATTGTGAGTATTCTTTCATTTCTGCTTTTTTATCAACACATGTGGTAACATGTTTATTGTAGCATATTGCAAGCTTGTAAGCTATGGTTTCTATGTACATGCCATTATTTGCGGGGCAACTCATTATATTGTAACTTGGGAGCTATCTACCTCCAAAGAATCCCATGCAATATTTAACACATATGCACAAGCTGTTCGTCGATTTGGAAGGCCCAAACACATTCGGAGCGACAATGCTCTAGAGCACAATGAGGTTGAGAGGGACATGATCCGCTGTTGGGGTCCTGCAGCTAGGAGCTTCATATGTGGGACGTCAATACATAACTAGGTACTCACAGCATTAGAGTTTTTCCAAATAAGGACTCATAGGACTAAATCAAATGTGTTTTACAGAGCATAGAGCATTTGTGGAGAGAGCTCTTTGAGCGTGTGGTGTGGTTTTATAAGCACCTTTTTGAGTTCATGGAAGATATAGGAATTCTCGATGTATCTAATCCATGGCACAACCAGAGTCTACGTTGTGTCTTTGCTCTGTACCTCAAGAAGGATATTTCACACTGGGTTGCAACTTGGAACCTCCATGAGGTCCGTCCGTATTGATGTGGTGATTACTTCAGACCATCTCATGTTCCTGCAAACTTATTTCAACTGATGGAACGAGAGCTTGGGTAACAATTTTGGTAATGTTACAGAATTCCTGATAAAATGTGTTTTTGTAGGATTATGCCGGCTGTTGGTGGAAAAGATATTGAAGACCTTTCGGGACCATTTCTCTCTAATGTCGAAGGTGCAACTTTGTTAGAGGTAATCTTTAGAGCAAGAATACAACAATTTCTTTAAATCTATTTTGTTGTGCTTGGCTACCTTATAGGCTCTTGGCACTGTTCAAAACCAGGCATTTTTTATGCATCGGGAGGGACTCAACTTAGATGAGCAATATCTACTTCATTTGGATCTAACAAAGAAGTGTGCAATGGCTGATGCTGCGGGTGTAGATCTACCACTTTACATTGAGAGTGCCTTGCCTACAGCAACACTAGTGAAGCGACGAGCTTTGGAAAAATTATACTTGGCCATACTCGGAGAAAATTGAGTGTTCTTTAGTGTACATTTCAAATTTAAATTCAATTCCTGATTTGTTCAATTTTAGGGTTCCCACATTTGGGATTAGGGTTTTCACCAAGTCCCACCCATATTAATTGTGCCTTGGATATGGGGCAATTTCATTTTATGACATGATTTTGTCGATGGTTTGTTTGTTCTTCCAATCGATTCCTGTCATCTAACCGGAGGCAAGGCTTCTAGTGCACACTCCCCTGATCGCAGGACCACCGCCCAAGTGAGAGCGCCACAGCTGTGATGATGGGTAGCTTCTCCTCGATCAGGTTTGCATAACCAATCCTTTGTGGTTTCTAGGCTCGAAGCAAGAACACCACACGCCTCAACAGTAGTACACACTATGCAGGAAACACTTCACGAGTACGCAGCCAAGCACTTAATGTTCCGCAATCAGTACAGCCAACAGTCCCGCGAGACACACGCCAACCACTTGATTTTCCAAGCTCCGCACCAGAGACATCAACTCCAACAGCATCCCATCCACAGCTTCTGACTGCATTTGAGCAAGCAGAGTGCCGCCTAACATTGCATACATTGCAACATATGCGGAACCTTCAGCATGTTTCATTCTCCTCACCTTCCTTGGAAAGTAGCAGCTCGAGCATTCGAAATGAGCAAGTCAGAACGCCTCATGCCTATGGTGTTGTCCAATCTGGAATGCTGCCACCAACACCAACTACAGGACGTGCTCACGGAACCCCATATAGTGCTACTGCTACCAGCCCCACAACTCCACCAACCGCTACAACTCTCGCAACTCCATCTACCGGTACAAGTGCCAATACCTGGCCATCTACCTCCCGAAGCAACAAGCGGTCTAGCTTGGTACGTTTTTCATTTGTACCCATTTTTTTTTCCATGTGTTTTTCTGTGTAGGGTGAGTTGACAATGCTGCCACATCAGCGAGCTTATAGTTCCCCATCAGCATTCCACAACTACTCCCGAGGATCAACATCATCATCTAGTGGAGCTTCGACATTCAAATATGTTCAAGCTAACCCTCAAGGTGGGTTGCCATGTGAGCCATAGGTATAACATGACCCCATGCACTCTTCATTTTTTTTCTTCTTTGGATTTGTTTAACCCATTTTCGTTTCACTGTGCTAGACTCTCTCACCAATTGTGGCTGTAGTGCACACCTATGCCAATAACAATCGGTAGTCCTTATCTTGTCATTATGGACGTCATGGCAGTCGATCCAAAGTCATTGGTGGGATGTTGTCTACGACACCCTTGGTCCCTCGACCGTTCACCACAGTTCTTGTCACCAAGTGGATTGCAATCCCGAAGACTTGGCATGTACACTTGTATGGGCGGAAAAGAGATCCATCTGTGAAGGTGACGGAACTTGACGAGCTGGCAGTGGACCTCCTAGAGTGTCTCATATAGGGTGGCTTATACTCCAGTATTCCTTTCCAGCCTGGCATAGCCCAACATGCAATTCTACTATCACTCCAAGCCTCAGGAATCCAACCTTCATCCATGACCAACCCAGGAGCATTTGTCTGGCGTGCAAGGCAATCCAATGGTGGTGAGGCCCATGCCGAGTCTACAAAATTTGGCCTCAGCTCTATCCAGCCTTGCTACTGGCCTCCTCAAACATCATGGGGAGCTATAGCAAACAAGGCCAATGGCAATCGGGCAACAGTAATATACCTATACAATGTTATGGAGCATCTTACTGACAAACATTAGCTAAGTTATCCAAAGCAGGCCCGAGCACTCGAGGAAAAGGATGTTCGTAAACGTAAGTCATTTTTTTTTTTTAAGTTCCCTCCTCACAAATATATGTTGTGGTCTTTGCAGTTGTAGCTGCTACAAATACCTTGACTGCAAATGATGATCCAAGGCCAGCCACGCAGGAACCAAACCCTTACGAGAATAATGAAGAAGAAGACTCTGCGGATGAAGAGGACATTCTTCCATTACCAGAAGAAACTCTCCCCACACAAGACAACATAGACATTAGCGAAGTCGAAGAACAAGGTGATGGTGGGGATAAACTGCACCAAGGATCTTCGGAGACATCCTTGTCACCAAAGATAGTGGCTCTAGGCCATGCAGCCGGTAAGAAGCATTTGTAAGCAACCAAAGGGAACGACTTGAGAGACGATCCATGGGGTTCAAATATAGAGGGAAAGGGCCCATGAACAAGAGTGCACCCCCTTTTCCAATCGGTTAAGGGTCTTGGGATACTTGGGGTTAAGCGTCCTTGGGTTTGAATAGTACTGGGCTGGGTGACCTCCCGGGAAGTCCAAACTCAGGAGCTTACATTTGGTATCAGAGAGGTCTCGGGTCCGACTCTGTTGGTTGGCTAAGGGAATCACACCACATGTTGATTGACATCTGGCTGGTCCAGTTTGCTCCCGCTGGGCTCGACCCGAGGGGTAGGGTGTCAAGAGAGCGGGGCTCTCGGGAGAGCTGCAGCTCTCAGCTTCCGTTCACGAGGGCGTGAACTTGCAGGGAAGCGTGGTGGATTGTAAGCAACCAAAGGGAACGACTTGAGAGACGATCCATGGGGTTCAAATATAGAGGGAAAGGGCCCATGAACAAGAGTGCACCCCCTTTTCCAATCGGTTAAGGGTCTTGGGATACTTGGGGTTAAGCGTCTTTGGGTTTGAATAGTACTGGGCTGGGTGACCTCCCGGGAAGTCCAAACTCAGGAGCTTACAGCATTAACATAAATTAATATTTTCTTCATTTTCTAATTTCTGAGTGCAGATAAGCCAATGGTAGTGTATGACAGTGATGGCGGAGGCCTTGAAGACCATGGTGTGCCTCCACCCCTCTTTCTAGAGGGAAGTAGCTCCACTCCGTTTACTCTTATGGAGTTGCTTAACAACTTTTCTACAGTAGAGTAAGATAATTGAAAATTGTGCCATTCAAAATTGAACTAATGTTTGCATGTAGATTGTTGGAGCGTCAACAAAGATGGATTGATGCCACCAATGCATTAAATGAAGCTGTTCAATTAACCACTCAGGATAATGCC